CTTTCACAGAGGTTTGCTGACCCACGCTTTGTTTCTTTCATGTGCACTGGAAAGGCTTGGAAAAAATTGTTAGAATAAGAAGGGAAACAATGTAAACATTGCCCCAGCAACAATAGAAAAATACCATACATTTCTGTCCCGGGTAAAAACAAACTAAAACAAGTTTAAGATCGATTTATCGCGATAGAAGCGAAAATAAGACAACTTTCCAACAGTCTTGGGTGCATAGATCGAAAATGGAAGCAAGAAAAAACAAACAAAAACTAGGAGCCAGAATAGGGATTATGGGAATTAAAATTTTAGTCACGATGAACTTTATATAAATAATAATACCTTGGCAGAATTGGCCGATCAAAAGTAACAACACAACTGAAAATACAACCATCGCAATCACTATTTTGAAAAGGCCTATAAGGAAGAAAGAATGAAATATTAGGGACAGGTCATTATTTATGGAGAAGGGAGGACAGGGAAAAATGTATTGCAAAATAAGAATTTCTGCAGGGACGATGCCCTCGTAGGCATAAATATGGCAAGGTCCCCCCACCCACCACCCCAACAGTTTTTAAGTGTCTGTAAATTAGTTTTGTTCTGCAGTGAAATCTCTTTTAAGCGGACACCATCGGGACCTTCCCAAGTGTCCGCTCAATAGAGGGTGTCCGCTTAATAGAGGTTTGTAAAAGTTAACATTCAACGGTTGCTCTGTACTGTGATAAAGTTCCATGTTGTTAAGGAAGCTAAGAAAGCTGTGCCTTGCCTTCTGCAAGACTTTAAGGTGAACGGCCGGATATCGGTCTAATCTTCAGTTTATTGACAGCTAAATGTATTGATTTAACTTCATTAATCAACTCGGTACGTATTACATTCAATCCGGTGTCCGCTTAATAGAGGTATCCGTTGAACAGGGGTTCTTTATAAAGGGAAATATAAGACGTTAATTTCGGGACCCGACTTGGTGTCCGCTTAATAAAGGGTGTCCGCTTAATTGGGGGTCCGCTTAATAGAGGTTTCACTGTATTTGGCTTCCCATATAAGGTAATCCAAGAAAGTCTTGGATTCTGGATTCCACGCCGTGGATGCCGGATTTCTTGTCACTGGAACTTGGACGCCGGGTTCCAGTAGTTAGAGGGATTCCGGATTCTTGCTTATTTGGATCCTTTCAATTATTATACTTTTTAGAAGCTGTAATTTCTGTTCTACACAATCAGAAATAACCGGAAAAAATTGCCCCTATTTCTTTAATGATGATGATGATGATGATGATGATGATGATGATGATGATGATGATGGTGGTGGTGGTGGTGGTGGTGGTGGTGGTGGTGATGATGATGATGATGATGATGATGATAAAATAAGCCGCCCCCTCTAAAATACCCTTGATTCCCATCGCACGGTTATTCGCTCTCGTGAAATTTATACAAATTGCATCACTAATTGAAAATTTGACCACAGTTTATATACGACCGTTGTAAGCACATTTTGTTGGACACGTGTCTTCACATGTCTCAGTGATGCGGTCTTCATACATCAATTGTCATCTAAGACTTGCCTTTACTTAAGCTTTACAAAGTTAGAATCTGCTGTTTTAGATTTCAAATTAACCTAAACGAGGCATCATTTGTTAAATGAAAGACGCCAAATTTAAAACGCGTCCATGTTATTGAAATATATATTTCTTTGCTTTTACTGAGCATTCCAGTATGCTATGGCTATGTTATCATCCATGTCAAATTGTGTCAGGAACATTTTAAAACAGCAATTTAAATGAAACGTTTTAACGAAAAATATCTGGTAGATTTTAAAAGGCTGCCTAATTCATTTGTTTTAAAAAACCAGTTTTCGCGACCTTTTGAAGAATTAGCCGAAGCTCTATCATGATTTTAATCGAAATAGTTGGATCATGACAATGCCTCCTTTTTGCTCCCCAGAAAGATGGAAAATATTGAAACTCCTTTGCTGGTGAAATAAAACTATTGTGAAGGAAAAATGGGTTAAATTTCCCGAACAAACAATAAAAGTGACTTACTTCTTTGGATAATGTCTTCAAAGGTTAATAAGTTCTGTAGTGTTCCTCCACCACCGATTGAACTGGTTAATGTGATCGATGTTAATTAATTTTTAACTCATAGGCTGACTCAGTAGGAAACTTCTAACGTGAAACGAACAACAGGTCCCAGTTCAAAAATGAAAGGGAATGGCAAGTGGTAGATACGCTCTTTTTAATTGCCCCGCAAATAGCTTAATTTGCTTCAAATTTAAGCTAAACATCCTAAAAGAACAACGATCGAATCCTCATTAAGTGGGTTTGATTGACGTGTAAATCACATTTATTCACCAATTGCCTGCACTGGCTACGTCCATTTC